CAGGATTTAAATTAGGTATACTTTAGCTACTTAAAGTTTATTACTAGCAAGATAGGGCTCTACACTTAGACTCTAAAGGTAGAGGCAAGTAATAGATAGCTAAACGTGCTATACTATAAGCCTAGAGAATAGGGAAATTTGCAAGCTAACCTAGTTACTATAGTAGCTTTTACTAAGCTATTTAACTAAGATTACACCTCTAAGGATCTATAAGCTTATTGCTACTAGCTAAAGAAGATAGCACTAATAATTAACTAGGCTTAACTATAATAGGTAATAAGATTTAAGTAGAGTTACTAAGGCTTCTTATAGAAAGGAAGCATAACCCTAGACACCTTTATATAGATCTATAAAGACCTAGAACTAGTAAGGATAGTAGATAAGTGCTTTAAGATATATAAATAGCACTTAAGGGAGATAAAGTAAGTAGCTAATTTAGGGTAGTGCAGGACTATATACTACTCTATTATTTAATAGCTAGTATAAGGGGATATAGGATACTAGCTCTAATATACTATAATCTAGGAAACTATAAACCTAATCTTATACCTATACTACACTAAGTACGCCTAGGTAGGAGACTAGACCTTCTTTTATCACGTGGACGTGAACCTTTCTAAGGTAGCGTAGTTAGGATAAGGGCTTAAGATAATCTAAGGCTTAGTTTCTTTTAATAATAAGGACTAAGATAACTATACTAAGCTTCTAATTAGGTTTAAAGAAGTATAGAAGAATTAGGTAAATTAGATAGATAGAGGATTAAGGAGGAACAAGAGGGCCTATATCTAAGCATAGGAAGATAGGGTGCACTAGCCTAAAGAGCTAAGGGAGAAGTGCCCTATAGTAAAATAGGAGAAGGAGATCTACTAAAAAGGATAGGTAAGGATTATAAGCCTAGTAATACTATATAGATCTACTAGACCTACTACTTAAACACGGCGTATAGTTCTACTATAGTATATAAAAGTACAGGACAATATAATAATAATAGAGGTGCTAGAGATAGGGATATATATAGAGATTGTACTAGCCTACCTATAGATAAGTATAGCCCTAAAGACTCTATTAGGGCACCTAGTTAAATATAGTAGAGTCTAATAGTAGTTTCCTAGGGATATCTAGGCTACCTACCTAACCTAGATCTTAAAGGTAATTATATATTAGGTTTAATAGGATAACCCTTTAGTAAAGGTAGAGATCTAGAAGTACCTAATAGGAGATTTAAATAGAGAAAAGATAGGAGTATAGATTAGGAAGAGTTAGGTTAAGATAGTAAAAGAGTTAAAGAAGAATTAGGCTATCTATATTAAGAATAAGAAGCTTATATTTAGTAAGGATAAGGACGCTAGGGTACTAGACTAATCCTACTTTAGTATAAAGAGAGTATAGCCTACTAAAGTAGGAGAGTGGTAGAGGTATAATAGATAGATTAAGCAATTAGAGACTCTAGATACTGTTAAAAAGTATCTAGGAGCCATTAAGGAGGAATAGAAGGTAGAGGGATCTAGGCGCCTAGGGCTAGGCTATCTAGGAAGTCTAGCTAGGGCGTGGAGGAGAACTGTCTCGTTAAGTTTAGGTTTAAGATTAGAGACCCTAGATACTCCTACTCCCTTACCTAAAGCTTAATAAGCTAGGAACTAGGGTTGCAGACTAGGAGGAGGAGAGTAAGGTCTAAGCTTAATAGGGCTAAGCTTAAAGGAGGGGGAGGTTTATACTATAGTAAGGGGTGTATAGGAGAAAAACAAGGCTTAGCCTAAAAGGTTAGGCGGATTAAATAGTATAAAGGTATAAAGGATTAGAAGATAGGAGAATAGTAACTCTAGGTGACTTTACTTTAACCTTATAATATTATCTTTTTACTTATGTTCCTGCATTAAACCATATCCTCCACTATAGCACCACTACTATTAAACCTTGCCCCTCCTACTTCTCCTCGTTTGAATAGGTTACTCTCCCTAACGGTTTACTAGAAGCTAAGATTAAGCGTTAGAGGACGTTGTTATTAACAGGGGATAGGTTCTAATAATAATATAGTATCTCTTTTGCGTAATTCTATTAGCTAGCGCTATAGAATATAATAGTAAGGGGGTCTATAAGGCGCTAGAGTATACTAATATTACCTACTCTTATAGCGTGGCGTAGAGTAAGGAATAACTCTACCTCTTATAGGAGGCGATATATAGAATAGAAGTCCTTATTAGAATAGGGACTCTTCTACACCTTATATAATAGAATAGACTAGTAGATATCCTTAACTATTTATATAAACTGCTCTAGGGTTAATAGAGAGATAACTGTATCTACTTCTTTAAAGCTACTAGACCTAGAGCTATCTACTATTAAGACTCCTATCTAGACTATATAATAGTAAAAGAGAGATACAATCTATACCTAGTATCCTTAGGTAATAATAGGGTCTATTAAGTAGAACTTTGCGTTATTCTAAGTACTTATTATACGGCCCTATTGTATTATATTAATTGTAAGGTAGTGATCTAACTTTAACTAGCCCTTCTCTAGTGCCTAATATGTATAGATAATAGTGTTTAAAAGGTTTATTTACACGTAAAACTATACTAACATAGGCTATACCTATTATTGCTAATTATAGGTATAATAAGCCCGCTAGCTTTTATATATAACTATATAGATATAGTTAATAGTAAGTTAGTTACTATATAGAAGGAATATCTGCTTAAGGAAGATATTATTAGGTGTAGGGTTATTATAGATCTTATAGCCTAACTAATCTAGAAATATATTATTATAAATAGTAAAGGTCCCTTCTATTAAGCTCTTGTTATGTTTAATTCCTATAAACTAGACTATCTTAGTCTTACAAGGTAGTAGTATATTAATAGTAGGAAATATTAGCTCTAGGTCTAGATCTTGCTTAAATACACTGCGTACAGCGCTTAGATAGAGATATTACAAGGCGTCTATAATTAAGAACTATAATATCTATACGCCTATATTATTACCCCTAGATACTACTAGGCTTAGAATAATATTAGTAAGAGATAGTAGGAGGGTTAGGTTATGCATGCCTTAATATAGACTACTAACTAGAAGTTCTAGATATATAATATACGCAGTGTTAGTAAATAACTAGAATACTACTTAATTTCTAACGTCTTTATAGCGCTTATAATTAGTAAAGTTAATATTATTATAAATAATAACTACCTATAGATCTAATATACTAGCGCGTAATTTAGACTATACTATATATTAGTATATACTATAGGTACACGTTTATAGTTATAAAGAAGAGGAGGCAAGGCTTGCTAGCAGGTAGGCTTATTAGTTAGCCTAGGAGGTTGTAGAAGTTTAGAGGAGGTAAGGCTTACTAGTAGGTAGGCTAGTTAGTTAGCCTAGGAGGTTGCAGAAGTTTATAGAAGTTTAGAGGAGGTAAGGCTTAGTAGGCTTAGCTAGCCTAGGAAGTTTATAGAAGTTTATAGAAGTTTGTAGAAGTTATAGAAGTTTATAAAAGTTTATAGGAGGTTATAGAAGACTAGTAGAGGCTAGCCCTACTAGTAGCTAGGGAATTATATAAGTTAAGAACCTAGCGTTATACGTACTATAGCAAAGTTAGCTAGCCTTAAGGCTTAGGTATTAATATACCTATATAAATATATAAGTCTAAGGCTAGATAATATCTTTATAACTTATTAAGGAACTCTAGAGGCTTAAAAATATAAACCTAAACACATAATAAACGCGTTAGAGCTCTCCTAGGTAAATAAATAGTATAGGATTATAGTAACTAAGAAGAGGCGCTTTATATGTGTAAGAGTTATATTACTAGCCTAGTATAAGGTTAAAAAGGCACGTTAGTTTTATAGATACCTATAGAGTATATAGTATAAAATAGGAGCATCTATCTCTATAAGATAAGTTACACTACTAAAGTTAAAATCCTTTACTAGGGTCCTAGTTATATATACTCTAAAGGGTAGCAACTAGATTAACGCGCTTAATTCTTGCTAACACTATATAATAATAGGCTACTCTTTAAATATATCCTTATTATAGAGCTCTAAAAAGACATCCTCTATAATTCTATATTACTTCTTAATAGTATTATATTATTAACTAGTAGATATAACTAAGTATTTATTATCCCTAATACTAGCAAATATAGATATAAATATCTTAAATAACTACCCTATTTCTCTAAATAATAGGAGGACCTTATTTATCTTTATATCTTTACTTATATAGTAAGTGTAGGAAGAGGATATAGGCTATCTATTAGAGGTGGATCTTTACTATATATAATTAAGGGAGGTGCGTTTAATAGGGGTGCTATAATAGCTCTAGTATAGTATACTAAATTAAGAGTATCCTTATAGCAGCGTAAAGTTAATAAGTAACTAACTAGGCGTCTTACTATCTAGCCTAGGTCTAATAGGGGTAATAGGTATATTAAATATTATTAATTATATAGTGTTAGTAATATAATAACATGCTATTTCTAGACGCGCTAAGTAATAGTATATAGTTATAGGGATAGCAAGGGGTAATAAAAGTTACACTATAGAAGATAGGCTATTAGATAGTGCTAGTAAGGTAGGAAAATAATATAGTTAAAGATATAATATATAGTATTAAAGGTAGAATCCTAGCTACTAATAAGTTAAAATCACGTTTTACTAAACTAAGCCCTAGTTTCCCTTAGACGCTCTAGCTAAAATAGCTATTCTGCCCTCCTATTAGCCTAGAAGTTTTTAGAAGATAATTAAATATATTCCTGCCCTCCTATTAGTTTAGAAGTTTACATAAGTTTACTAGCGGCGCGCTTGCGTGCCACCAGGCCTAAATAGGATAGGCGGAACGCCAAATTTCAGTCAGAGCATCTGATTCATGAGATAAGTGTCCAGTGGTGTTTGACGGCAGAGCTACTCGACGTAACTGAGAATCCTGAGCGAACGGCGTGGCGCTGCGATTACGTAGTTTGTGTGTCCTTCTTGCTAATAACGTGCGCTTGACACAAGCTTTCAGATATCCTCTCGGTAGAAGTCAGCCATGCCTTCTTTGACCACCTTGCGCAACTGTGCAGCCGCGCGACCCAACTCGCCGCCTCCTTTCGTTGCTTGCTCCAATCCAGTCATGATCGCTGTCTCTGCTCGATCATGGAATACTCTTTGACGGTCTTCACGGTCCTCATACATCTCGGCTTCTTCATCCCTCGTTGCTCTGAACAAGTTAAGATGTGCGTATACACTTGAACGCTCAGATAACACGTGGTGCGCGATCTGCCGAAGAGGAAAATTGCTATCACCGGTAACCAGAGATGAGTTTCGTCCATGGGATAATCCAGTACGGAGAAAGGCAGCTAGAGCATTCATTTGCTTGGCTTGGATCTTGGAATCGGCTTTCCCGTATGATTTCGCGGTTGACCATTTGCTACTGGCTTCACTCTGCCAGCCAAGCAAGCTCAAGAAACACGTCAACATCTTCACCCAGCCCCCCGCGCAGCTAACAACCTCATCACCAGCAACATTGAGCAGCCAATCTAGCACTTCGAGGCCGAAGACACGGATTTCTGCAGCTAAATGCGTCATGGCTGCTCTCGTATGCAGTAGTAGTTGATCTGCATAGCTCGCGACATCGGTAATCGGTAAACTATGTAGTAGCCTGAGCAACTGTTGGCGGACGCTGTTGGAGCCATCCAAGATGAGACGTTGTACTGCAGGGATAATAACAGAAGATGGCTGTGGTAACGATACTGTAGGCGGATTGTTGACCATTGCGGAGGTCAAGAAGGCAAGAGACTCCTTCCGCTGCGCATCAGACTTATGGTTCAGTAGACCAAGATGGTGCGCACATTGTGCTTCTAATGTGGGCGCACTCGTAGAGAGAGCTTGTTGTTTCAAGGCGATAGCTGGACAGAGTCAGTCAAGGAGCTATCATAAGAAACAAAAAAACCCGTACACTTGGCCTTGAAAGTTGTATTGGTGTTGTTGGCTGCCTTCGGTCTTGCTTTACCGACTTTCAGTTTTGGTTTCTAGGAGCTGTTAACATGAAGCTTTTCTACGCCAAATTGCTCTTCATACCTGAAAATCCTTCTTTTTGCTCTCCTTCTTCTTCTTTGAGCTTGCAGTCATGATGAGCCCCAGGAAAAGTCAGGAGATCGTCGAGCGTTATCTGAACATACAGTGGAGGTCGACATGAGATGTCTAGATGCAAGATGGGAAAAACGTACATCTATCAGCGCTAAGATGAGAAAAGCTAAATCGTGTGGGTTGCTTGGCAGGGTCCAGTCGACAGTCGCGCCCGCGGCCACGCCATGTCACGCGTCTTGCAGGTAACTTGAACACTTCCAACGTTCTAACGGGCGTGGCAGTCACTCTCGGGACAATCTTCCTGTTGCCAACATGGCTGCGCAGCATACAGTAATTGCCTTACATCTACATACAATCCCCCGCTGACATCGTCACAGTCTGATGAAACCCTGTCCCTGCTTACACGACTAAGTCAAAAGCCCGGCGTGCAAAGTACGCTCATACTGTCGCGAGAAAATGGCACAATAATACGAACGTCTGGCCTCATATCGAGCAGCTCGTCTGCGAATCCTAACAGCACGCTACCAGCTTCGAACGACGCTGCAAACGACGCTTATACCAACGGAAGAAAAGAAAGCGGAATACACAGTGCAGAAGACGTCGCAAGCATGGTCTGGTCCTTCCTCTCTGCAGCCGGAGCTCTTGTGGACGAGCTCGACAAGGAAGATGAAGTAAAACTACTCAGACTACGTACAAAGAAGAATGAGCTAGTCATAGTGCCAGGTAAGTCCTCGGCATGTTTTTCAGTCTTCTCTGCTAATGGAAGGGTAGACCCCAAGTTCATTCTCGTTGCCATCCATGATACACCACCTGCATAGGCTTGGAACAAGTAGCCGTACATGTAATGCTTCCTCTCCTACGATCACGACAGCCATAGTGCGAGATTCACCAATGCGCTTCACAAAATTTTGACGTCAGCTACGTCAATGCCACCATAAACAGTACCTTAGGTATACTTAGTCGCATCATCCTCCATTTACTCCATGGATGGATGGTCCAACGAGGGCCATGGGGGAGCCACAAGCTTCACTGATCACAATCTTGTCACTTATCTGTCGCATACGCATCTTCACTTCCCACTAAAGCTACAGTCGTAAGGACCACAGCGTCGCTTCTGCTTCAAGCCGACATGCACATGCTCGAGCCTGTATTAGGCTTGCACTCTAATTTTGATATCAAGGAAGCCAAAGAGCTCCTTTCCTAGCTAGCTTCTTCGCTGTGTCTTACTTTTGAGTGAGGAAGCTTCCAATCGCCACAGTACCCTTGATATATAAAGAGTGGCCACACCAGATACTGTCAGATGTATACCCTGGCGCCATTGTCTTTGCATTTCTGTTTGGGTCAGACACAAGGCGTGACTGAGCAAATCCATTGATTGTTCCGTAGATCTCGTACCTTCTCGATGTTGGCCTGGTTCGAGGCGTCAGTCAGTAGGGAAGCTATAGAAACCGTTGCCATGATAGATGAGTGCTGTGGAAGTGTGGTACTAGGATACAGAATGCAAGCATGAGATCTGTTAATTCACACTAAGGTTCAAAACCATAGTTGTATCACAGAGAAACAAGGTCATTCTGACCACTGTTGAAGTCAATGCATACCACGACTGACCGACCAGATCTCTCCAACATTTCGGCCTTACTTGAGCAGATGCGGCATTTACCAACAGAAGTTGCTCTACGCCTGTAGCAGCTTGCAATCGAATGCATGCCTCACTTCACGCACGATACGCGACGGACTACCATACTAGAATATTCTACAAAGTATTCAACTCCACACGATATGGAGTGGCATCGATACCTAGTAGTATTGCTTGCACACCGTCCAGCAAAATGTGGATGGATGGTGGCACATTGAACAGGCCCAGCCACGTCTACGGGTATCCTGATACAGCGAGTGTCCATCTAGGTATCCGCATACGAGACGTGATGGTGCATTGATAGGATGGAAGTATTTGTCAAACGGCCCACTGGACATGCTGGACATGGACTACTCTTGCTACTAAGCGGCCTCGGTATCTGGAATCGCGTCATCGGCGTGCCCCACCATCAATGCTCCTCCCCCCTCCCCCTCTCAGAGCTCGAAGTGCAATAATATACAAGGACCACGGTGCCCCTCCAAACATTCAAGCACTTCTTCCGACATCTGAACACCACAAATCACTCCTGCTAATCCACTTCCCCAAGCTTTCTCACGACAATCTCGATTACTTTCAACCCCCAGTCTTCTTCTCATCCCAACAAACATAATGGCTCCCCTCAAAGTCGGCGATTCCTTCCCTGAAGGCGTCAAGTTCGAGTAAGTCGCCCAGGCAGTCTGCCTTCATTGGCTTCCCACGTCCATGGTGGAAAAAGACCTGGGCCAGGCTAACACGTGATTCACAGATGGGCGCCCATTACCGACTCTGACCCCACTGCCTGCGGCCGCCCCCAAGAGTACGACGCCAGCAAAGAATGGGCCAACAAGAAGGTGGTTCTCTTCTCCGTCCCCGGCGCCTTTACCCCCGGCTGCCAGGCCTTCCATCTCCCCCCTTACATTCAGAAGGCGGGCGAGTTCCGCCAAAAGGGCGTTGACATTATTGCCACTATTGCCAGCAACGACGCCTGGGTGATGAATGCTTGGGGCAAGGTGAATGGTGTCAAAGGCGATGAGGTCCTGTTCTTGAGTGACACGAAGACATTCTTCTCCAAGGAGCATGGATGGCAGGCGGGCATGGGGGACCGCAATGGCAGGTGGGCTATGGTCATTGATCACGGCAAGATCACCTATGCAGATAACGAGAAGAGCCCCGGGGAGGTTACTGTAAGTGTACTTTGGTGTGTTTGGGATAGACTGTTTGCTGATAAGTTTAGGTCTCTTCAGCCGACGCTGTTCTCGCCAAGTTGTAGATGTTGTATGAAGGATGGTCTCCGCTTCGGCGTGCTAGTGGTACAATGTCTGATTCTCAACCTCATACTTGAAATAAATTAATATAAGGAATTTCAGAAAGCAAGTGTGTGTTTCTAGTACCAGTGAATTCTCACAGAAAAAGAGTTATGAGGATAAAGGTAGGCTGTCGAGGGGCTGTGGACACGCGTCACATGAAGGCATGGAATGTTTTGACTTTGGTGATATTCGCTTTGGTGCTTTCGGTGCAGCACGCAGCGTCTACTATTGCTAGAATGCAGAATGCAGAAACCTGTTTACAGCATACTGCTGCTTGTAGTGCCGAAATCTTCTCGTGCAAGTTAGCGTAGTGCCCCAAAGTCGACATGGCAGCTTCATCTGGCCAATGCGCTCAATCGAACTAGCGATGTGTTAGTAATGAACTCGTAGTGGATGACGGGTGTGGACAAACCGGGGTGAGGAAAGACTCGGCCACGAAGCGTGCTCTGGCGTTCAACTGTATATTGTCAGACATGGATTCACGGGACAGAAAACAGACAGGTCAAGCTTGGCGTACGAAGAGCTTCATCTCGGAGATTTCCTTGTCGACCTCTTCCATGAACTGGATGATGAAGTCAACCAGCTTGTGCTTCAGCATCTCCTCGGTATGGAAGTTTGTAATCAGGAAGGAGATGTCATAACCCTTGACCGGTTTCCGACGCAGGATGAAAAACGACTCGGCTCGTTGGGTCAAGAAGCGGGTGAATTTGTGGACCAGAATATGCTCAATCTCGTCTGCCTGCTTGATCTTGATGCTTATCCGCACGCTGTTGATACTCGGCTCAATATACACCCTCTCATTCTCGTTCCTCGAGACGGTGAGCGGGTTGAGGATGACTTCGGGCGAGCTCGCAGCCTCGATCTCGGGAACATTGTGTCGCTCAGAAGCCTGCGAAGCAAAGTTGGAAAGGGATAGGGCCGCCGTGAGCGATGAGCGCACGCATTGGAGGTACGGGCGCAGTGATTGGGACTGTGGCAGGCGTTAGCTGGAGGAGGCTCAGCAGGAGCAGGCGTGCCGCGAACAGGCCATTGGCGGTGCGGGCGGGCATGGGGGACAGGACCATTTTATGGGTGTATGTTCGTGTACGGTGTGGCCGCTATATTTTGGTGTCTGGTGTCTGGTGTCTACTAGTCGTGGTATAGTATTGGCAAGGGCAGAGCTGGCGGGGGAGAGCGGGTTGGCTATGACATGCCCAGGAAGCGGCGCAGTTGGAGTAAGCGTGGGCGTTCGAGAGGAGAGGGAGAAGAGCCGATCTTCTCTTCTCAGTCCTGTCGGGACGAGTGTCTGCGGGTCTGCTCAAGGTGAAGGTGTTTGTTGTTGAGCGTAGGTTCAACTGCTACCGTATAGGTAGTGCTTAGTTGTTAGTAGTGGGGTGGAAGCTAACAAGGGGGTCTTTCTGACTTTGTTCGATTGGTCTAGCGCTGCCTACCCAGGCCGTCACCATCAGCATCACTGTCACCGCCACCGCCGCCGCCGCCGCCGCGCCCCGCCACGACAAATTTCCCTGGGCTCTACCTCTCTGTATACTCGGTCCCTGTCGCACAGTCAAAACACTGTTCTTCACTTGATTGTTTGTCACCACGGGCCCTGACAACGATCCCCCATCATGGCGTCCATACCAGGTATGTAGTGCTGGACTGGCCCACTAACTTTTTGCTTTTCTTTCCATCTTGGTCTGCTCCTTGCTTTCGCCTCTCTCAGCGCCTGATGCTAATCCGCCATGGCCATGGACAGTTATTGTAAAGCACCAGGGCAAGAAGCACGAGGTCGAGGTCGACACCACCTCCAACGGCGAGACATTCAAGTACCAGCTCTTCTCCATCACCGGCGTCGAGCCTGAGCGCCAGAAGATCATCGTCAAGGGCGGACAACTCAAAGATGACGCCGACATGGCTAAACTGGGCCTCAAGCCCAATCAGACCCTCATGATGATGGGCACCCCTTCTGGCGACGCCAACGTCATCGAGAAGCCAAAGGAGAAGATCAAGTTTCTCGAGGACATGGATGAGGCCGAGGCCGCCCAACGGGAGGGTGCAACGCCCGCTGGCCTGCAGAACTTGGGCAACACTTGCTACATGAACTCGACGCTGCAGACTCTGCGATCCATTCCAGAGCTCCAGGAGGAACTCCTTCGCTACAATGGAAGGTGTGTACTAGGCCCAAGCAGCCTACTTTCGTTCCCCTGGCACACTCACTAAAGCAAATCAGCAACGAGGCTGGCTCGTCCAGCTCTGCGCAGGCACTCAGCCGACTGGGCCTCAGTGGCCTGGGCGCCTCGACCGATCTCACTGCATCACTACGCGATCTCTTCAAGCAAATGTCTGAGACGCAGCAAGGCTTCCCTCCGCTCATGTTTCTCAACGCGCTCCGAACCGCCTTCCCGCAGTTTGCTCAGAAATCAAAAGATGGACACTACGCACAGCAAGATGCAGAGGAGGCCTGGTCGCAGATAATATCGCAGTTACGCCAGAAACTGAAGCGCAAAGATGAATCGCAGGCAGATGCTGGCGATCAGTCGTGGATCGACAAGTACATGGCTGGTAAATTCGAGTCGGTCATGGAATGCGACGAGCCCGGTGCAAAGGAGGGCGGCGAAGAGCCGATCAAGAGCGAGGAACTGTTCTTCAAGCTCAACTGTCACATCAGTGTCGAAACCAACCACCTGCGAGATGGTCTAGCTGCGGGCCTAAAAGAGCAGATTGAAAAACGCTCCGAGGTCTTGGGTCGCAATGCTCTCTACACAAAGACAGCACGCATTGCACGGCTACCCAAGCATCTACCCATACACTTCGTTCGCTTCGATTGGCGGCGAGACACCAACAAGAAGGCAAAGATCATGCGCAAGGTGACCTTTCCGGAGGAACTGGATGCCTTGGAGTTTTGCACAGATGATTTGAGGAAATTGCTGGTTCCTATTCGTGACAAGATCCGCGAGGTTCGCAAGGAAGAGGAGGACGTCGAGCGTGCGCGCAAGCGACAAAAGCGCATGAGGGCAGGCGAAGAGAATGATGCCGGACCATCACTCAGCACCAAAGAGCCATTGCAAAAGAAGAAGGAAGCCGAGCAGAAGAAGGAGGACGCAAAGAAGCCAGAGGATACTGAAATGGCCGAGGTCGAGTACAAGACCGACGCCCAGGTTGAGGCGGAACGTGCCGAGTCCATCTTGAAAGCCAAGAAGGAACTCCTTGCTCTTGTAGATCCCAAAATGGCCGCGGACGAGGGCGCAAACCAGACCGGTCTCTACGAGCTGAGAGGCGTCATTACGCACCAGGGCGCCAGTGCTGATAGTGGCCACTACACCTCTTTCGTGAAGAAGCAGGGTCCTAAGGATCCGGTCACGGGCAAGCGCAAAGAAGAAGATGGCAAGTGGTGGTGGTTCAACGACGACAAGGTCTCCGAGGTGGATGCTGGGAGGATTCAGACTTTGTCTGGAGGAGGTTCGTGTGGTTTCCGATATTAGGTTCGAAATCTGCTAACTGGTCACAGGCCAAAGTCACTCGGCTCTTATCCTCTTGTATCGCGCTGTCCCTCTGCCCACGGTTGACGAGGATGTCAAGATGAGCGAGGCCTAGATGTCTAAGCTAGCTTTGCATTCTTGCGAAGTTGAAGCCTGTTATCTGCGTCTCTAGATCAGTAGCATTGGTGATGCATAGCTTTGGCGTTGCATGGATGGCTATGGATAAGGCATGAGCCATACGATTTAAGCATGTGTAATGATACAACGATTCAAGAATTTGCAGCTAAGAGCTTCTTATGCACATCGGTACAAGTTTTTGTATGCTTCGTTTTCATCTTCACTTCACCACACGTCCTAAAAGCGCGTCGAAGCTTGTCGCCAAGACTAATTGGGCCCCTTCCTGTCACCTCCACTACCTCGCTACAGCTTTTTCTCTCTAGTCTTCGCGCGCCGGTTCAGAGTGCAATACTTTCTTTGTGTTTCAAATCTGTCAATCATTTTACATGTGTACTCGTCGTATCTCTCGCCATGTTTTATAGTCACGAAGGTAGGTCGTGTTGAACTGCACATTGTCGCTCAGGATCAGTGTTGACCCATACAGTATTAACCTCGCGCAAATATGGCGTTGCAACCGTCTGGTGAGCAAGTGGCCTACTACCGCTCCTTTCAGCACTGACCAAAGCGGCAGGCTCGTTGCTACACTAGGCTCTAAATCAAACTTGAAGCGCATCAATCGCAAGCAGATTCTCGGCGTCGATGTCTCCAAAGCATGCCAAACCATCGTGGATCCAATCGCGCCAATGGCTCTGCGACTCCAGGGAAATCTGTTGTCTGTGTTACCCTTGACGGGAGAAACATAGAAGACTGACAAAGGCTTAGGTACGGTGTGTCCCGTGTATACTTGCAGCAGTGCGGCTACGTATTGTCCGATGCGCAGACCGCGAACACCGAAATAAAATTCTTGTTGAGAACCATCAAGGATGACGCGCTTGACCCTGAGGCCGGAAAGGCGAGGTAGAAACTCCATCTCTGATCCATTAATGTCAGCAACTTACGTTGACTGAGCAGACCCGAGCAGCTTCTTCTCCCAGAAGATCCATCCTTTCTACCCGAGTATGCACTGCAGCCACTGGACCTCTTCGCAGATCTCAACTTCAACTTCGACTCTCATCACATCCGGCACTCTGGCGACTCACAGTCTCTGACCCCGTTCGGGACGCAACGATCTCAGTCTTCCTCTCAAGGGGATGCAATTGGCGGCCTTGTTTTTCCCAGTTCGTCTCCAAGCCAGCATGCCGAATTCCAATTCGAAGGCGACAATGTTCCAGGAAGCATCGGTAGGCCAAGTACCATATTCGGTGCCGGTGAAGCTCCGGACTTGGATGAGCCAGACTTCACATTTGGCGATGATGGTAATATAATCCAGCTTGGAGACAATGATATCGTGCCCAGAACGCCGGGGATTTCTATGATGCAGAGCGATGCAGGCGCGAGCGCGAGGCTGAGGAGAGAGCACGAAGAGGGACGGCAGACAGGCTTACAGGTGAGTTTAGCCACTGTTGTCTTTGTGATTTGCACTACGATCCCGCATGCCTTGTCTTTCGAGAGCTGTCGGAGAATCTCACTGTGATCTCAGTCATGCAGCTACACTATATCACCTGTCCTTCCAAAGACTATTCGCTAAGGTTCTTTTGCCCCCAATCGCCTTGTCTTGTCTACCCTCTCTTCTTCCGTTTTCTATTATTATTACTTTCTCGCTTCCATTATTACTCCTCTATTGCTTCAATTTCACACTTGCACGACATGGATATTGACGTATATCAGATCCCCCGAGATGACATGGAACTTGACCTACCCAATTACGGCGATGAATTACCGGACTCTGGTTCCTTCTCTTCCACTGCCCATGGACGGTCCAACAAGCTTCCCGAAGTAATAGAGTCAACATCATCCACCGTAACTGCTTCCTTGCGTCGGAAGCCTCGAGCTGCACGTGTCATACCCATGGATCGAACAATCGAATTACGCAATGCAGATCTGGCAGACTGGAACATCAATTACCTGCAGAATATGCGGAATGCAGCAAAACCAAAGGCCAAATTGGCCGCTACTGCAAGAGCGAAGAAGAATGCAGAACACTATGTCTGGGGCAGTGGTCTTGGAGGTATTGGCCAGGATGTCTCGGGCGCGTACGGCTCAAATCCTTTCGAGATGTTCATTGGAGACAAACTTTTTGAGCTGATCACGGGCAAGAGCCGCCAAAAGGGGAAGTCCCCGAAGCACAGTCGTGACAGTGGAATCGACGATGTGACCCAGGATGAATCACGACGTGTCCGACAAAAGACTGGAGAATTCGATGATGATATTTCGCGTGGAGGTAATGATGAAGGTGTCTTCGAGCTTGGGGACGCCGACGTCGATGTCGAATTGCCGCGTGAAGCTGTGACTGCTCTTGACGACGAGCAGATCTTCTCTGCTATGCCCTGGAACAGTGCTTCAATCCGCGGCTCTTCTGCCGTTCCTAGAAGTGGACTAGGTTCTCATGATCAATCTAAGCGTGGCACGCGTGTGGTGTCGGCATCTCCTCTTCTTGGCCGTGGTCGGGCTAGCGAACTCGATACATTGAGGACCTTGGAGAGCGACGGTGACTATGGCCTTGAGGGCAATGAGTTTGCCCCTCTTGAACCCAGTTCAGACTATCCAGAGCTCGCTGTTCCGGTTGTGACCAATACCCGCGTTCGGGATGCTCTGTCTGCAGAGGGTACCAATTTCCTCACGTTTGTCATTGATGCGATTACCGAGAAGCGCGGCCTCGTGCAAGCGGCGATGGAGAACATGTCTGGCATACTGCAAGCCACTACGGCAGCTGAGATCGACGAGATTACTTTTGAAGAGCTGCTGCCACCGCATGAAAATTCGAAGCTGGTAGCGTGTCAAGCGCTGATGATGGTGCTCAGTCTCGGAAGCAAGGGCATGCTCAACGTTCAGCAGCCATACTATTTTGGCCAGATCAATCTTCAACCTACCCCGCAAGCTCGTGCTTCTCAGATCATCGAGATCAGCGACCGCAAGGAATCGGATAAGGAGTCTAACGATGGCTCGTTTCAGAGTCAGAGTGCTCTATCACCCGTGCATGGGCACGATGTTACGAACGAAAATGACGGACACTTCCAGGACCAGCTAGCGGTAGGCCCTGCTATGCCTCAGGACGACGACTATGATGAACTATACGACGACTGAAGTTCATTATGAAGTGTACCACACATATCGGTGTATTATTTTCATGATTTTCATCGGGATCTAGAAGGAATTTATGGGCAAGGGAGTAGCGATAGGTCGGTCTGTCGCACGAGACATGGAAGATCAGCATCACAAAAACACGTACGTGTGCAGGTCCACGTATGCTGCAAAATAGGCATGATGCGATGTATGTGCCTGAGAGAGTGAACAAACGAAGAGTTTGCTTTTTCAATTATGATTAATCACGATGTTATATCCTTGGTATCCGTTGAAAGCTAGAAGGGAGTCTCGATCCGCTGTCTCTGCTTTCAGACGGCCAAAAGTTAGCTGCAATGGTGTACTGTATCTCCGGATATTACCAGAAGTCATTCAAAAAATAAATCACAGTATCCAGAACTCTAATATTCCTTGTTGTTCCTGTAAAGTTTAATATGTGGGCAATTGGACAAGAAACTTGCCGGTAAGCGTCGCGTGACGTGAGTACTTGCAATAACTACCCACCTTTGATGCGAAGGTGTTCAGAATCTTCATATTAAGGGCACACGGGCACCGGTAACTAGAGTAGAGCAGTCAAACCTATTAATACAAATTTTCACCAGTCATGGAAACTTACTTTTAAGACTTGCAAAGTTCGATTAGACATTATGCGCTTGACTAGCAGCTACCTATAAAACTATATCATCTACTCTAGCTTGACACGCCCTAACCGCTCATCGATTTTTGCTGCAATTGGTACCGGTAGCGCAGGAGGCACGCTGATTACGTCATGTCGACAATCGCAGGCCACAAAGGCAACCTCGGCCGGCCACATGGGCACCACGATACGCCACGTGTTGCAAGAAACAAACTCTGGTGAAGATACTTCATTCCTTCACTTGGCTTGTATTTCGGCCATATATAACTACATTTCTTTCCCCTCTCGCAGTCGCGTTCCCCGCAGTCTGGATCGCATGTACTGGTAAAGAAGTTCGCGCGACACTGTACCTACCTCCGGCCCGTTCCACACCGTCGACATGTCCATGACCACGCAAACGCTGCAAGGCGCCGTGCTGAGCATAACATCGAATGTGCTCGCGCAAGCCATATCAGCCTACCGATCCAATGTACGTCCGCCCGACATCCTCCACGGCTACACCACCAAGAAACAGAGAAAATCGACTAACCCACATCTCACAGTCACCATTCACTCTCAACTTTTCTCAAGTCTACAAATTCGCCCTCTTCAGCGTCCTCAGCAACCCACCCAACATTATTTGGCAAGGGTTTCTCGAAGACCAATTCCCCACCAACGTGCGGACGCCAGCACAACCTTCCTCCGCCCAGAAAGGGAAGAAGCCTGACGCTAATCAAACGACGCTTAGCAAAAGAAATGTCCTGATCAAGTTCCTGCTTGACCAGACAATCGGCGCATTAGTAAACACACTCATGTTTATCGCGTACATGAGCTACATCAACCACTCTCAGACTTCTGCGCAAGGTCAACTAGACATGGGAGGGCCGTGGGATGCAGTGAAGACAGATTGTGGGGTCAAGACCTGGCCGATGATGAAAGATGGATATAAATTCTGGCCATTGATTAGTTTGGTGAGCTTTCTGTGGGTGCCAGTGGAGAGGAGGGTTGTATTCGGGTGCTCGGTGGGTGTTATCTGGGGAATATATTTGAGTCTTGCAGCGGCCTAGGCAATGGGAGCAGAATACACAGTTTCAACGTGGTTATTGAGATTGGGGCCCCGTACGCATGTTCAAGTTGGGTGACCAATCTTTCGCGATAGGAAAGGCGGGAAAGAGGAATGCAGAGGTGAGGCGATTGCGTCCAGTGTGAACAGGATGTCGACAGCACTTCTACGCTTGCCTGTCTCACTGAACTCTTTTCAGACGACACTCTGCTACCAAATTCCGAATCCCGATACCGGTCTATTGGGCCATATACACGCTATGCTTTCAAGATACGGGGGCGTGTGACATTTTGTGTCTTTTGTGAAATAAGAGCTTTGACGGAACACTGCAGCTCAGCTAGTCATATATGATCATACCGAGGTGGAACAAAGCGGTGCTTATCGAAATTTGAATACAGCCATCTTGAGCATATCTGGTAGGTGGCACATGGGTGCAAGCACCCAGATTGACGCCCAAAAGTGTTACCAGTATACCAGAATTCGAAAGTCACAAACTACCTGTGGCACATGGGCTGCAACCTTCCCTCCTTTTGGCGCCGGCTAATGAGCAAATGCGTGCTGTTCTTAGTGGGTACTCGAAGTTTGTCTCAAGGATCAGGCGTGCACAAGGAGTCTTCAAGTATTGACATTTCAGCAGCCATCTTGTCCCTGATGCTCTCATTATTATAACCAACCATCGTCCAAGAAATCATGGCAGCCACTCCTGATCCGGACAGCATCGATAGTCTTCCCCAGCAGCAGCACAGTGTCATCTTACGGCATCCGCAATCACATGACCTCAACTCTCCCGCAGGCTCCAGCAAAGGTCTACAGGTATCCAGTCAAATCGGGTCATCTACCTCGTCTGGTTATCAAATTGCAGCTCAGAGTCATTACTTCCGTTCCCGCCGGGTAAAGAAGGGTGAGTTTGAATGACCATGGCTTGACAAGACCGATCCACGAGCCAAATGGGTCACTACTTTCCCAATCTTGGGATTCATCCTCGGTTTGGGCATTACCGGAATCCTCATCTGGGACGGCGTGCGTACCGTTGCGGTCCACAAGTACTGTGAAGTACTCAACGAGAACTTCACGTCATGGAACACAGATATATGGACAAAAGAAGTAGAAATGGATGGTTATGGGTAAGCTGAACTGTGGGTTTGTTTTCCATCACGACTGGTCACGATTGAAGCAATGGTCAATCTGACATGACTACCGACACTGATGAAAACATCTACATCCGAGACGGTCCATTCGTTATCAATCCAACGCTTCAAGATCAATCCCTCATTGACCAAAACTATACCCTCGATCTCCGCAGTCACGGCTGCACAAGTCAATCTTGGACAAACTATGTCACAACCATCAACGCAACCAACGGCACCATCATCAACCCTGTCAAATCTGGCCACATCAACACCAAACGCGGTGCCTCCCGTCGCCAAACTCCCTGCCGGAGACTGGCTCTGGCCCGCAATCTGGATGCTCCCCGTTGACAACACATATGGCGAGTGGCCTGCCTCGGGCGAAATTGACATCATGGAGTCTCGCGGTAATAACGCTAGTTACGCCCAAGGTGGCAATAACATTGCATAGTACCCTACACTTTGGTCCTGACGCCCTGAATGACGGTTGGTGGCTCAACAACGTCAAGCGCAAAGCCTTGCATACGACGTACGCGGCAGACTTCAACACGTTTGGTGTCGAGGCAGCCATCCTTTTTTTTGTCATGTCATAAGAGGCAACCGTTCCGTTTCGATACCTCTATGTGC